CCGGGTGTAATGCTAGACTACAAACAAAGCTTGACAATCGTCTTTGACCCTGACTGATTTGCTGATTTTCAAACTTACCGGCTTTATTCATCCTACAGTTTGAGCACGGAACAGTCCGATCGCAGCGGATTTTTTTCGTTCGACAATATTCACACTACAGCCGAAATGTTAGAATAACAAGTAAGGCGTAGGTTGGTCATCGCACCGAACGTTTGCCGACCATATCATCGGCAGATAGTCCCATACTTTCTTCCATATCTGCCACAATATCAGGTCAGAAAACACCCGCGCAAACTGTTAGCAACTTGCAAATGAAGTTTTGATGTTCGAACTCAAAGGTTCAAAGTTCAGACTAAAATGGATGATCTCATCAAGCAACGATGACTCCTTTAGGTAGTACTAGGTCCTTGCCCAAAGCGCACCGTGCTACTACAGTAGTCTGACTTGGCCGAATCATAAATCGCCGGTTGGGTAACAGCTTGCGCTTTCGCTGCAATTGTTTACCGCTCCGGACGAAAAATTAACATCGGAAAAAGTAAAGCTTGACACACCCCACTTCGCCGATACTGCACTAATGACGTATCTGTTCTGCATCAGCTTACAGGTTCCGGTACATGTGATTTTGAAGCGATTGAAACGACATGCCAATTGTTTCTGGGCCTAGTATGGCTCTTGTTAGGATATTCCAAAGTACAGGGTGAACCAGCAGCCATATCATATCAGATACCACGTATCCAACGTCAGCTCTCGGTGGACCAAAATATCCGGATAAAAACCTTCTCCACTAAATTAGCGCAACAATAATCAGACACCCCTACACGCCAGTTATATATAATTGTATGATTCTCTCTTACAGTATTTCAATCTATACATGAAATATAGCACTCTAGCATATCAGATCTTGTTTTTAATGTGTGGTGGTGAAAGCGGCTGGTTTTATTCCAATACTACGTATTTTAGTCCACCAAGAGGTCAGATAGCTAACCAGTTCGTTTAGATGCTCATTAATTACTAAAGGCAGAAACTGCTCCATTGAATACATGCACTTGAATCACAGAGAGTATACATACCACTCAGAATCAATCTAAAATAGATGTAGCGAGGGCGCGAGGCTGTTACGAAGCTGAACCGCTATGTAGAAATAGTGACATTTCTTGTATAATTTGTGGTATCATGAGTAATTCTACACGTTATCAAAACACAATCTATGCGTACATTTTTTTGTAGTTCAACCCCATCCCCACAGCGTCTTGATGGTATCACCAAACGTCGCTTGGCCAGCCTCTCTCCTCTTCATGCGAGCCACTCGTTCCTCAATAAATGTCTGTTCAAGCTGCTTTGCAACACCATTTTGAGCCCTCAGCTCCCCCACTACGGCCATTCTTTCAATCTCGCGCTCTTCAGGGGACAGACTCTCAAGCTTCTTCTCGTATTCTTGCCGTGCTTCTGGCTTGATGTGTGCCCATACTTCATTTTCGTCTGCAGTATTCAGATTTCCAATTTCAGCCACCTGTTCATTCTTGGTAGTTGACGATACACCGCCCATTGCCTGCGCAACGTTACGTTTGGACAAGACGCTTTCAAACTTTGGGATAGGTCGGCCTTCTTCTTTTGCCTTTTCTATCTCTGCTTCTTGCTGCAACATGCGCTGGTATAGCTTATCGGCGTGCATCTGGATCCGTTCATCCTCTTCGGGCGAGCGAGCATCCATGGTCATGTAGCCCAGGGCCTTGAGAAACTTGGACTGGATATCGTAGCAGCGGTTGAACTTGCGCGACTCGGCGCTGCACATAGTGCCCTTGGACCACCATGTCTTGGGGTTTCGGAAGCATTCGAATTGCTCCATATACTCGAGTGCACAGTTCTCCATTGCTATTCGGCCAATGGAGGACTTGCGATCGTTGTAGGCGTCGACTAGGTCTCGCAGCCGGTCTTGCTCCGACTTTCCGCGATCATCGAGGATGTCCTGGGGTGTGTAGTTCTTCCAAAGATGGGCATAGCGTCCATCTTGGAATTGAGATTGAGGCGGCACCTGATGCTTAGAAGATTCGGTCTGTTCCTGGGACTGCGACGGCGGGGGTGTGGGTGTGGGTGTTTGTGCATCGGCGGGCTTTTCCTTGGGCACAGAGGGCAATGAAGGCGCGGGGCCTGTAGGGGCTTCTTTGTTGAGGAATTCGCGGAGGGAGGGGTCGAGCTGATCTGACCCGGTTGGGCTGTTTTTGCTACCCCATAGCCAGCCCATGATGGTGGAATGCAATGGCAGTCGTTGTGTTGTGAGACGTGGGCAGCGAACGGAATTATTGCGGGGATGATGGAAGCCAAGCAAGGGCCTGGCCATGCATGGTCAGCGCGTCGACCCTCACAACACTACCACGCGACAACAGCAGCCTCGCCCACCCCACCCGAATTCGAATTGCTACACCACACATCGCCATGGCGCCCGTCGGTATGAGAAAACAGTGTCATTCCTATTTCTCCGTCTTTGTGCTGACAAATCCATAGATCGCCGCGAGCATCGACAGCAGCGCGTGCGCGGTGCTGGGTAAGACAGGCGTCATAGCATGTAGCCAACGACTTGGATGCTGACAGCTGCAGCCCTTCCTCAGTACAGGCGACTTTTGGCTTCAACTTTGGTGCTCTCGGCGCAGCCCCTGCTAAACAATCCTCACTTCCTCCTCCTCCTCCTCCTCCACCACCCTCTCGCCGAACTCCAGTCCAAAGTACACCGCGTGCCCCGAATGGCTTGGCACAGCGACACAGAAGCGCGTCGCTTCAGCGCAGCAGCGCGTCAAAACGCAATAGCACACCAAAAGAGAAGACAGTGACCCCGCAACTGGGCAAGCGAAAGCGTGCCTCGCCCACTACGCAATCGAATGTAGTCGAAGGGGAAGAGGATGAACTGAGCCCAAACCGCGAGGAGATTGCGCGCTCGGTCGAGAAGACCATGAGAGTGGTTGGAACTGCCTCCCCCGCACTCGAGGAACAGGACAATGGCCCGGATGAGCTCTCGGTGATGGACGAGGGTGCGAGCAATGTGCGCGAGGCCGTGTTCGCTAGATCTACCGTGATGAAACGGACACCACCTCAGGCGGCGATACGGCAGCGGGCTCTCTCCGGAAGCGCAAGGCAAAAGATACCGACCACAGGCACAAATGGAACAACATCAGCAAGGTCACAGCGCTCCATATCAAGACGATCCAAGTCAACCGATCCCGTCCCAGAAACCCCTAGTCTACTCCCTAGCGGACAGCCAAGAAAGTCGGCCTCCCGAATTGATGCTTACTTGAATACACCAGCGGCGCCGCCAACCGAGGATGAGAGTGAGGACGAGCTTTCGCCCCAAGTGCCTGTAGCTACGCCGCGCGTGGTCGGGAGTGAAATACAGCCACAGAAAACACCGCAAGAGGCAACAGAAATGACTATTGATGAGCTGTCCCCACAAGTGCAATCAACATCAAGTCAGAAAATCCCGACAACATCACAGCCAGTCGAGGCGCATGTAGCAAATGGAGACCCTGGGGAGCAAGCTACGGAACCACATCCCGCGAAGCGTGGACGTGGCAGACCGCGATTATCAGATGAGCACCACACTGGAAGTGACACACCAGCAGTCGCCTCGGTGAAACCTGTGAAGCGTATGAGCCCTCGTGAAGCATCCAATGTCCGAGAGAGCGAGCCCCAGGAAACACCGGCGATTCGCAAGTCTGTTAAAAAGAAGAACAAAGAGCCTATCACCGAAATCGCTGATGAGACTGTTGACGGCCTTTCACCTGCTCGTGGCAAGGTATCTGCACGACTATCGCAGCCTGCAAGACAGGGAGATAGTGTAGAAGTCTCCAGTGCACACGAAGCGTCAGCCGGAGAAGAGGATTCTGCGCTAGAAGAAGAAGCGGAACCCACCCCTCAACCCGTCCCTAAGCGATCTACTCCCGAGCAAGCACCACGTGTTAAGCCTTCAACGGAAAACCCACCCCGCAAGCGTCAAAAGCTTGTGGGGCCAACACATACCATCTCGGTGATGCGCATAAAAGGCTCTACAGTTCGGGGTGTTACTGCTGCAGATATCACGCGCTCAATTCTAGAAGATAGCATTGACCATCGTCTCAAACGCATGGCTGAAAAGCTGCAGAACTTGCAAGATTCCGACAGCCGAAAGGAGTTACGAAGCCAGATCAACATGTCGATTACCTTCAAGGAGAGCTTGAATGAAAAGCTAATGGATTTACAAGATGCTAACGACGTACTAAGCACGAACTTCCAAAAGATGAAGCTACTGAGACGCGCTAATGCTGATTTACGCAAAGAGATGCTAGGCCTCCAGAATAGTAGACAAGAAATCGCCATGGAGCAGGACGATATCCAGACACAGTACCATGCTGAGAAAGCCAGGGCGGACGCTCAGAACACGCTCAGTGACAACATGTTCGCTATTGAGGCTGCGATTAAAAACGGTCGTGCTAAGGCGCGCAAAGAAGGAAGAGAAAACGAGGGTCCAGACATGCCACTAAGCATGCTACTAGATGGCGTGGCGAAGGATGTCGGTTCGCGTGGTGGTGGGCTTTTGGCCAATGTCAAGGGCTTCAATGGGCTTCTAGAGCGGGCTGCGAGCTGGCTAGAGGGAAGAGCCTAATGGCTTACAAAAACACTATTCACTTTGCGGCGTTTTATTCTTGTGTACTTTGGGATACGATACCCGGCACCATGGCCACCCATAAAATGGAATTTCTTCTCACAACCCACCCTTGGGACACGGGTTGTGGCACTTGCAGACGATCGCAACTACATACATATAAGCTGAGTCCATGGTACGTCTGTGCTGTTTGTGTCCGAGGTATTGATGTAGAGGTGGCGCGTGCTATCTGGTTGCAGGCTAGCGGCTACTGTTGGTGACGGGCCACTTCTCCGCATTTGCGTTCGTCATGATGCATGGTGCATCTCACCAAATCCTGTCCGGCACGGCCGGTACATCATTAGGTCTGTCCCCTACCGAGATTGACGTGCACACAACTTCAGTTTGACAGCTAAGTATTTTGCCTCCGCCGGACAGGTTTCGTCATTGAGGTGGATCGTTTCGAAATCTCCTTCCTTGTCCGGCCAGAGTCACGCGCTGCTGTTCGACGTATCTCCAACAACCCTCTCGGAACTCTGCTTGCTTGCTTGCTTCGTTTGGCCATCTGCACCAACACCCAAACGCCCCCGTTTAACACCACGCGGTGTATAACTGACTAGTACATATCGCAATACAGACGGTGCCCTTATTTTCGCTTGCGAGCGGTGAAACCAACGCTAACTGGAGCCGTTACCGGACTCTTCACCTGTGACGCTTATCACCAGACCATTTCTTTACCGATCGTGAACCAAGACATCTCACTAGACTAAAACATACCTCAACTGACCTGGACCGCCACCATTTTTCAACGTTGTTTCAACTCCTCCAGCATGGTTCGCACGCCTATTACCATCGACAAGGGTCACACTATCACACCCTTAAATTCCCCACCAGTTCCTTTGGAGTTGCCCAGCAAGAACCCTCCTTCGCCTTCCACCAAGTCGCCTCGTAACCCTGTCAATCAGCATTGGGTTCAGGCACAGCAGCGAAAAATATTCATCCAACATTTGAAACAATGGTCCATGGGCCACGATTCAAGCGCGCATTTCCAAGGGAAGCTTAGTTTGTTGCCTCCTGATCCACGTAGGAGAGAGGATTTGGATTTGGGTAAGAGCGTGCAGTGCGTGCTTACGGATTCGAGCTTCACGGATTGTAGGAAGAAGATTGTCGTCAGGCTTTTTAGTCCGCAAATGGGCAAGAGGAAGAGTAAGAGACCTAGTATGATAAGGCCAGCGCAAAGGGGTGATATGGACCCTTTTGAAAGTAGAGAAGCGTTTACAGAGTGGGAAGAGAGCACATGTCCATTCACATTCGCTGAAGACGACATGGCCCAGCCAACTTCGCAGGTCAAATCCATTTCCCCGAGCAACTACTATAAACTCGTTATTCGCTGCGGTTCTGGCTGGCTCTCCGCCCGTGAATACCTCAACAACCTCTACTTCACGCGTCTTGCAATCAAAAATACCAGCCTCAGTGCCAACACCGTCTCTGACAAAGCAGAGCGCACATTTCGCACACACTCACAGGCTCTTAGTCCCCAACCAGCTCCAGAAGATACCGTCAACATTCAACCCTTATTCCATCCATTCCTTCGCCTGCCTCAAGAACTTCAAGAAATGATCATGATGACCGCTGCGGGATTGACCCGAAATTACGACCTTTTACCTGAAATCAGCTACCGACTGCCATCAAAACACGCCAAATCACCAATCAGTCTCTCGACACTACTTCGCATTTCTCCCACCATCACAAGTACAATGCAGTCATACATTCTTCACCGAACCACCTTCCACTTCGGACTCACAGGAACTACAAACTTCTTGTGGCAATTAGGACCAACCAATCGCCCCCATATCCGGCGTCTCGCCTTCCACTTCGGACGCGGCGCGCTCCTACATTGCGTACGCTGGCTAGCACCAGATCCAATCTTCGACTTGCTGCAACCACCGGTGCAGAAGGACATGGGTGGCCTTCCATATTTCTGGCGGTGCCAACTTCGCGCTTTGGCAAAGGAGTTACATCTTACAGAGCTCATTATCGGAGTCCAAACTATGCCTCATGCCGACATTGCCATGGTAGCGAGAATAATGAAAGAATCATTTGGAAGTGTTGAGAAAGTTTCTTTTGTCGAGAACTTCCTTGATGGAACCACAAAGTTGCTTGATGGAGCAGATACGCGGCTGGAAGGAGTAGGAAAGGGATCGTGGAGGGATATGACGATGGGATATGTAGAGAGGCATAAGAGGCAGGTTGGATGGCATAACTACCATTTTGGACTTGAGGTTGCGGGCATGACGGAGGAGGAGTTGGAGAGAAAGATAGATGGGGAGAGTGTGTTTTTTGACAGTTGATGGGGCTACTATGAATAAAGAGATGGGTTTAGAAATCAGGCATAGGGTTTTGTTGTTATGATCGGAATTGGGAAGGGGGACTGAGACGGTAGCAATCCATCACTTGCGGCTGTATGCTGAGGATGTTTGCTGTTGAATGTAATGTATCGGCATTCTTTTTGGGGAGATCTCGACAGGTCAAACAAAGTAAATAAAGCACATCTCCCCAAATTGCGACTGATAGATGAGATGTAGTAAGACAGGTCACCTACTAAGATATAAAGATGTTGGAGTGAGCTGCCAAACTGGGAGAAATGAATGTATTGTCTTGGATGACTGACGAGATCTGCATTCAAAACTGCATAACTTGCGATGCCAGGAAGCCCCTACATGTCAAATTCCTGGTATCGTCTTTGCATGCATTATGCTCACTCTTGTACAATAACATCTCAAGAAACTTATTGTGAAGATTACTCTTTCACATATCAAGTAATGAACTGTTTTATAATAGTTCTAGTTCCAAATACCTTGGTGGAAAATGACCCATATTCTGCCTGCCAACCAGCTATTCAAAATCTCTTACACGAACATTAGCGTTGTGTAAGAATCACGACGTTGCCTCTGTTTTTTGTCGTCCCGAGGATAGGGGATGGCCCAACCGGGATTAGCGACGTTAGCAAGGCAACAAGCAATTTGGTTGCAGCATCGTTCGTCTCCGACATCACCGCTCAAAAACATCAAACATCTTTGAATCCGACTTCATCCACGGTTCTGCCGCATACAGGCCCCCGCAATATAGCGTTCGTTGTCATTACAGAAAGCGCGGCGCGTTGTTTTGACGATCACGGAAGGGTTTGCCGTGTGGCTATCTCAATCAAAACACCTTCACTCTGACTCCACACCCTTGAATCGTTACACCCGCAACTGCCTTGACGATTATATGCCTGATATCTCCGCAGGCATTCTTTTGCTCTGGAGTTCTGTAACTTTCGTTGACAACCATATTAAACCGAATTTCTTATCCTAATAACATCACCCCGCCCTCGACCAAACAGGTTCCACATGGCAGGCAGCAACAACACAATCAAGTGCAAATCATGCACTAGAGTCCTCGCAGCTGTCACAGCCGATGGGCTCGTTCCCGTACAAGCACCAGAAGAGTTTGGATGCAGCACCTGTCAGCGGTTTGGCACACTCTATGATGCTCTACAAGCTGCAGATACTGAATGGGCGGCTTTCGAAAACAAGCGCGATTCCATTACGAAGAGTTTTGCGCGAGACAACCACAAAAAAGCCCGCATGGAATTCGATAATTGGCTCATGACAGTAGAGGCACTCCCGGTTCCACCAACTGGAGAACGCACTACGCGCATTGAAGAAGCAAGTCCGGAGGTGCAGCATGTGTTCCATGGCAGCGAGGAACCACATTTAGGCATTGCGCGTCGAAGATCACATTCGCCAGCAACCCAACCTCCTGTAACAGTTGAAGAATCACCCAATCCACGGCTGCAGCAATGTGACGCGCCACTGTCTTTTCGGCCGTCGCCCAAACGATCGCGCAGCACCAATTACCTGCTTGGACGAAAGCGACTCAAGTTTTCAGATACGGTCGAGTTCCACAAAACCTACCGCAGCAGTGATGAGTATCACCGGCCTAGCCAACTGTACGTCAGAGGTCGCAATGCGCCGCCCGAAGGATCGGAGTACATGGACACAAGCGGATCGAGTCAAACATTCCTTAGGTTTACACAAATGAAGAAAGTGGGCGCAAAATGGGTGGAGCTGAGTGAAGAGGATCTTGCGAAGAAGAGCAAGAGTCCGGCGCTTGCGGTAGCACAGCAGGCCTCTGCAGCAGTAGAGCAGCAGAAGTCGCACAGCAGGAATCAAGATGTGGTTGGCAAGTTGGAACAGGATGGAGAGGCTCCACCAGATGCTCGTGCAGCCAGGCTGGCCAGACGTGCTAAGGAGGCATCCAGCATGGGTTCAGCGCAGACCAAAAGCATATCAGGTACTCAAAATCGGGGTAATAGAATGGCGCGCAAAGTGAAGGCGCCGTTGCCTGATGATACATCAAGTGGAGTCCAGGAGTCTCTTATTCAGCCGGCGATCATTTTGCCAACATCAACAGTGCAAGAAATGAGGATTGATGATACGGACAAGGGCCTAAGTGCAATGAACGATGTCGGACAGGAAGATGAGGAACGTGGGGGAAGAACAAGCATTGCGACTATTGAAAAAGCAAACATTGGACGCATGCGCAATGACGAGATACGAAGCCCAGAACCGTCCAACAACAAGCTCCACCTGGACGTTCAGTACAGTGGGACAGCAGGCGATCGATACGAGTCGATCGAGCGCGATATCAAAGTAATGCAAAGTGGGTTACATTCTGCCATTATCACCCAAAGTCACTCGGCCAACGAGTCGGGGACCAAGCGCTCATGCACCAACTGGGAAAATGCCTACATGACCACAACTCTGGACGCGCAAAACGCTGCAGCGACAACGCAACTAGAGTAGATCGAGAGGTATGTACAAGGTGTACAGAGTGCCCAGTGGTACACACTACACAGCCTCGTAATGTCACATCTACAGTGACAGTAATTCAACCATTCCATGGTAGAGTAAAGCCATCACGGTGTGTCAGGCAGCAACACCAGCAAGCAGGCAAGCAAGCAGACAGGGCCCTCCTATTGGTCTCGTCAGGAACACGATGTGCAGCAGAACGGGGACACGCCCTCCTGTCAAAGTTCGCGTACGTAACGGGGGAAATTTCCCCATCTCCTATAGGTAGGTTGGCCAAGTGGACAAGGCCACAAAAACGCCTTGCCCTGCCCGGCGGTGGTAATACGAAAGGAGGACAGGGGCAGCATCCGATTTCAAACACCCCAGCATCCGATCAAGACAAAACAAGAGAGGGCATAATTACAGGTAACTGCAAACGGTGGCTGGGCTGGGGGTGAGGGGTGGTGGGTTGGCACCTCGAAGCTCAGACAACGACCGGTTCAGGGCAGCCTATGGATGCCTTGATTTCCTCTTCCTTCCCTAACTACGTACCCTTCACCCAATCCTTGGCCGACCCGAAACCGTTGCTGGGAGCTGCAAGGACCCTGGCCCGATTGCTCCGTGTCCATGTACGTATGTACGGTAGCAGGTCGTTTATATTGGCCCGTGGCCGTTGCATCCATCCCACGTAACAAAAAAGACGTGCAGGACCGCCGAAGCGTGCAGAAAATGCCTGGGCCCCAGTAGGCTCCGCACCACCACCACCCCTCTCCACTTCCCGAGACGACTTCAAGTCAGATAAAAAAGAGGAGCAAAGATCGACAGGGCTGGGAAGGGGGGGGGGTGCGTGGGTTGGTGCGTTGGTGAGGGGTTTTATCAGGTGAGGAAATGTTTGGCTAGAAAGACCATGATGAGAGAGTGTAGTAGACTGAGCACCTGAATAAGAGAGCGGATGTATCCATACGCGGGTGGTTTTGCGTTGCGTTGCGTTGCGTGTGTGTGTTGTGTTGCCTGACGAGTCAGTTGCGCCATGTGTGTTGCATGGGATGGAAATATCAAAAGACGAAGTTACGCACGTAGCCAAAGTGCCCGAAGAGACTCCAGGTGGGGGGGTTGCGTGTATGCTGTGGGATATGTGGTATGTGTAGGTACATACTTACCATCACGAGAACAAAAGAGCCTAAAGACTATAGCGAACAACCACACCGAGAAAAAGACCCGCACTTCACATGGACAGTGTTCGGTCACAAAAAAAAAAACCCCCCGTGTGAAAGGGAATCTCACTCACACTCTCCCTTTCTCTCTCGCCAACAAACACGTACATCAATAGCCATCATTCCGTCTTGGCCCTTTTCCCTTGGGGGCAGGGGTAGACAAGTGTGGGGCGCCCTGTTCTTCGCATTCTCACCCCGTCCCCACTTTTTTCTGACAGCAACCCTTCCTCTGTGTGTGTATATGTGTGTGTGTGTGTGTGTGTGTGTGTGTGTGTGTTTCCCTCCCATGTACGTACGTATCTCCTGTTTCAAGGCATAGAAAACGGGCAGCGGGTCAATTAGGGCGTGTGCGGGCCAGCCAGCTGTTGGTTGTGTCGAATCGGCTGATTTTGTTACAACAAGATTCCCAGTCCCATGAAGGTGGGTCCCGGTAACCACAGACCATGGGCGCTGACATGGGTTATGGGGTGGGCCCTGTTGGTCACGAACAGTGCTGTCTCCCCCATGCCTTGTCAACCGGCGGACCCGGGGGTTTGAAGTGGGAAGGAGGGATGAGGGCCTTTTCTCTTTCACTTTTTTTTCTTGTTCTGCTGCGCTGGGCCTGGAGACGAACGGTAAATCCCGCCCTGTCGGATGCGCTGCCGCTGCAGCGGCTCTTTTTTTCTTGTCTTGATTTCCTTGGATCCCGGGTTTTGCTCATCTTTTTGGGGTGGGGACGGGGCCCATGGATGTGTGTGGGTGGGTGTGCTCGGCATACTTGGTGAGCTTGGGCCCTTGCCTTTTTGTTCCTATCGCCCAGAAACACGGGGTGGTGATGGTGACGATGATGATGGGGTTACATTTTATTGGTCTTTTTCTGGCCTTGTGTGTACCCGAGCCGCGGATTGATGAAAGGCCGGGTTTTTACTGTAGTACTTTCCTACAAACGTGTGCAAGTTGATAATCGCCGACACACATAATACGACCAGAACTAGTATGTTCGGCGAATAATCTCACTTAGTAGGCTTACTACGTTCGTATGAAGTTTTGCATTAGCTTTTGGCATTTTTGTTTCCTAAATGGGTTGCAGTGATTATAGTTTTAGTGTATCATGTTCATCCTGTCTCTATCTTCTTTCGAGCCTGTTGGTGTGGTGTCTCGGTGAATATTCAAGATGATGATCCTCGGTGAAAAGGGCGGACAAAATCCTGGTCGCAATCATAATGGTGACATCATGGATGATAGCGATGCTTAATTCTTACTATTGATTTTGGTCTCTTTTTTCTTGTGTTTCACCGTGTAGACAACGGTCACGGGGAAGTGGGTTGGATGTCGCAGAACATACCTATTTGTGGTTATATTAGGGGTCAGTGATTCGTCTAAGCGAGGGGAGGGGTTGCGGGAAGTGGGCTGCGAATACCTATAGCCGTTGCGTGGCAGTTTGGCTTCCGACAATACTACATACATAGATGGATATGAGACATGCAGGCATAGTCCCTGTATATCTTGTAGCTCGTATCATTTCTCGTTTGATTATCATCTTTTGCCGTATGTACCTGCTAATAGTATCGCCGTGCGAATAGCGATAGGACAGAGGAGTATTTGGAAATATGGCAGGCAGAAGAATGTACAGCGGACTGGATAAACCGAGTGCTGAGGCTTGTTTCCCGTATGCACGTGATTGCGACGAGCGACTTGGGCCCTCGGACGCAAAAGAATGCCCGGTCGCACTAGTAGAAACACCAAAGTTCACTTGAGATTGTCGCACGTGGTTGCATTTATACGAATGAGTTCATGTCCAGAATACGATGATTATTGACCGATGCGTTTCCTAAATGGAACAAACTGAGCGATTAATGTGCAGGCGAAGAAGACAATCGCGTGCTCTATGTTGACCGTTCAATGCGCGAGAGAAGAAAGGCCGATCGTTGTGTATTCACCGATCAATGCAAAGATGCAAAGGAGTATTACTACAATCTCTCCTAGCGAGTCGGGAGTTTTCTAGCAGCGAAGGGATTGTTCCTGCAGAAGGAGCTGCACATTCGCTTAGCGCATCATACTCGCCTCCTCTGACGCTCCTTTATTTTTCTACAGAGGGGTGGGTGGGGATACTAGCTTGCCGGTAGCCGTGGAGAAGCGACAAAGAATTAGCCTAGAACATTGTCAAAGCTTAATCCAATGTATGTTTGTAGTAGTATACATGTATGTATACAGGCGAGGAGAAAACCCCCGATACCAATGAAAAGGTAGAATGTACGGACATGTCGGATGTCTGGTTCAGATGTGTATAAATCTGTGGATGCTCACCGGACGATAGTGGAGTGAGATGTGGTCCTTTACAGCGGGATGCATATTGGACGAGCTACTTAGTATGATTGCGCCTCATGCCCGCACTATTGATCGCTTCATTTCCCCACTGCAACCCAGGGGTGGGCTATCGATCACGTCGGTGGCAATCGGCTTGAGGGAGTGAGACATGATCTGGGGGAGTATGAGGGCAATTGGACCATCTGGTGGTCAGCGACTATGTACCGAGATAGCGGTATTCTCCATAAAATGGATCCGACGTAATTCACGATCGCCTTTAGCTTCCGATATGGATAGGGTTCCCCAGGACGCATTGTCGAGGTGGAGTCGAGTTGCACTACTAGGCAGCCAACATTGGCCGAGAGTGCAGGCCTGATGTCTTGAGCAGTGTCAACCGTGTGTAGATCATTGTGTTAAGGCTGCACGAGGCGACGAACGGCTGAGGAGTCTAAGGAATTGGGCGGTTCTTGGCGGAGTTGGCTCGCGCCTTAGGTGTGATGAGCGAGTAATGCACATGGAATTTTCTCGTAACGAGGAGAATGCGGTGTTTGAGTCGCCAACAAGTCGGCAAAGCAAGCGTATGTAGGCGAGTTGAACGCGTGACTGTTCTGTATGCAGAGTGGACAGGTGATTTTTGTGGTTATATTGTGCAACATGCTGATGCCACATGTACGATTCGAATGGCGGTCCTTGAGCCCGTGACAGACAAGATGCAATGTCGCCAAGTGGTGCTCCATGTCATCGGCAGATATCAGAGAGTGAGAAATAGAGATAGGAGTACTACGACTGCGGTTTGGCGCGCAAACCAGGCCGGGCGATGTCTCCTCTCACCCCCCAGCAGCCGGATCGATCTATCCACGTCACCGGGATCCGGGCGGCTGTGAGCAATTTGGACGCACTTAGGCCCGATGCAGACAGGGAGCGCCGATCTTGGACGAACCTCGTGATGGGCCAGAGAACACGACACGCATGTCTGTAGCCGCAGTTTGGTGGTGTCTGGCGTCGGCGACAGCGGCGTCTTCAGAGGGACGAATGGAAAGCAGGCGACGCGTAAACGGGCAAGAGAAATATTACTTTAGAGTTCAGCCAGGTGGACGGTGGGTGCGGCTGGCGCGCGGGGCTAATTTCCACACACCCGTGCTTGGTGGTGGGGGTGCGGCAAGCATCGCCAGAAGCCCGACAACCCTGCCTGACGACATGTCCAGACATGCAGTTGAAGAAACACATGTGCAGATGGAACGGCGGTGAAGCCGTAACGTGCGTAAGATGATATCAGACGGGAGCAGGCTGGCCTCATGGTTACGCTCCAAGTCGGGGAATACGGCTTGGGTGGCCCTGCCACATCATTCCACGTCGGCACTTGAGATGACAATGATGGTGATGGTAGTGGTATAGTATAGCAGCAGGATCATGTGTGTAGGTAGAATATGTATGCACATACGCATGTATTTTAGTATGTATATGTAAAAGCATGCGCTACTTACGTGGTAGGTACATAGACATGTACACTACACACGTGCACTTGTACACTACGACAGCTGAGACGTCGGCACCTGAGTCGTGGCGGCTATATCGGCTGCCGATCGGCGCCAAAGCGTGGTGCAAGCGTCCTCTTCTTACATACGAGCTCTGGCCGTGAGTACTAGTAGGCACCCCTAGAAGGCGCTCGAAGCTGTCATGTAAGTAGTAGCCCGAGGCCAGCCACGAGGCATCTGCACACTGCTGTGCGTCAAGCTATCTCGTTGCATTTGCCGCACACGGTCTAGTGGTTTGCGCAAACACAGGCCTAGTGAATGGAGCTCGACCCTGCGGGCTGGGCCAGGGAACCTCTAGAGGGACGGCCCTCTGTTGCATGGCATAGAGTTCAGCTAGAAGGATGGAGACAGCCAGCTCAAGCAGCGCGACCGGGTGGGCAGATGCGCGACCGTTTCACGTAAGCGACCTAGTTGGTGCCGAAGAAGACCCTTTTGCTCTTACGAATTAACATGTGGCCGAGAGGATGATATCAGCATCCCAGGGCACACACGTTGGGCCAGGGCGCGGGCCAGGAACAGGGGCTGTAAAGGTTTACCCAATTCATGGTTAAATGGCGGAGCCGCTCGCTGCCGCAATGTTCCAGCTGGAATGGGCAAGCCGAGATGCCCCCCCCCGTGGTCTAGTTGTCTCATCGTCTTATCGTCTCACCCGCTCGCTAGCGCCATGCATGACAGCCTGCAGTAGTGTACGCTAGACGCCGTTAAGCCGCACTAGGTCAGGGTGGGCAATCTTCGAGAAGTGCTGTCAGCCAACCATAGCTCGCCTAATACGCACTGCAAGGTTACGCCATCGTGCATAACCAGTCCTGCAGGCCTTGCTGTTGCCTGCCTGCCTGCACTTGCGCTCCCTCGCTCGCTTGCATATGCACATGTGAGTAGTTACTCACTCGACATGCCAGCCCAGCTCATACCTTGCCATGCACATACCATGCACATGCCTCGCACCACCCACCACCTGCGCCTAAGTACACCAGCCGCCAGAAGACCCTCAAGCAGCCACCAACCGGTCAGAATACATACTACATATGTATCCATCCGCTTCTAGTCCCTCCTCACCCCCCCCAGCACACAGTTGCTGTGTAACCACACAGTCTCGCACACATCATCATCATCGTCATCCTCGTCAACAACAACAACGCATGCGCATATACTACACATGTAGACACGCACACGCACCGCACCCATGCCCTGCGTGCGGCTCCGCCTTCACCGCACTCCTCCAGGGCCCTCATGTACTCACATACGTAACCTCGCGCGTTCCGTGGTATGATTCTTTCGTCATTGCCGAGTTTCCCAGTCGAGACTATTACTTGCATTGCTCACTCCCAAGCTGTGATTGCGCATCACCGGGAGAGCCAACAACTATGGCACCAACAAAGGACATGTTTTCTCCCCACCCGTATCCCCACCAGCCCGAGCCATGCCCCCCTTCCGGGGCCCCCTTGACAAAATTCTACGACTCGTTACGAGGCACCACACCTCGTTTGTTCCCGTCTCTTAGACCAAACCTTAAACCACGTTGTCGTATTCGCTGATTCTGTAGAGTAATAGACAGCCACCACTTAGTAACAGCCAACAGCCAACACTTACACGTGTAGCAGCCACGCCAATCTCCTCGCGCTCTCCTGTCCTTGAACACGGCATCTTCGTACGGAAATTGAATCATCTCCCCTAACCCTAAACGCGCTTCACACACACCCACGTGCGCACGACTCACCTTGTTCCCATCGCCCGCCAATGACGAAATTATCGTTGCCATTCGCGCCGAAGCAACGCCTCTCCTTTCCACCAACCACACACTTACCCGCGCGCATGCACTGCCACACCACGCCCCCTTCTCTCTCTGTCTCTTACACTTTGCACCGTCATATCCACCGCCACCGAAGCGCATGAACAAGCTCAAGGGTCTCTCGAACCAAACCCCCCCTCCTTGAAAAAAAAACCATGCCTGCCCTCACCCCCATGCCATAGCCGCAGGAGAAAAGACAAGCCACATGATCGGTGTCATCTTTCCCCTTCTCCTGCGTCATGCATGTATTACCTATACAGCAGTAGTGAAAATGTTAAAAAGAAAAAAACCATCTCCCAGCTAACCGCTCTACTCTCTGGCCACCGACCTACTATACTAGTGCTCATTGCAACAATATATGCAGGGCAAATGCACAGCAGAAAATTGCGCAAAGGGTAAAAAAAACTCTCAAAAAGTAAAGAAGAAAAAGTTAGAGGCGCGTGTTTTCCGTGTGTGTCGCCAAGCTCCCCCATGTAAAGTTGGGCCCTTACCTCACCTTACTGTGGCCCTCGCTCGTGCTCATCTCGGCCGTGAACCGGATCCGCACTGGCGGCGAATTAAACAAGAGGCCATTCCCAAAGGCGGGGGACCCGTATTTTGCGAGACGAGACGAGGCGAGACGAGCTTGCTGCGAGAGCGAAAAAAAAAGTGTCGAGTGATCCTGACCAGACGTCGATGCGCAAGTGCGGCGGCGGGCTATGCAGTTGCGGCCTGCGTGCGTGCGTGTGTGCGTGCGTGTGCGCGTTGCGGACGTGCGTGTAAGTGTGGTGTAAAGTACAAGTTACGGTAGACGAAGTAGGAAAAAAACTACTATGTTGGCCATGTGTGCAGCAAGTCTTGCAGTCTGCATTTCTTTGTTGGCACGTTTGTCGTTACTACATACGTAAGTAGTTATCCGTTGTTGTTCTGTCGAAACCCTTATTTTGTGGTTCTCCTCCTCGGAGTCCGTGTGTCTTGTTTTTCTCTAGTCTTATGTCTTGGTTCCCTGCAGTAAGCGTTTGTGCCAGTTGGTGTAGTGTGTGCACTGACCACACTACATCTGTCTTTTTTTCTCATTTCTGCTGTCTCTCTCACTGTAGCTTGCCGATGACAGGGCATCTTACACACGCTAAGCCTGTTTGTCCGCGAGAAACCCTCTTTCTTTTCTTGTCAGTTTTGCCTCTTTTTGGATTTTCCATCCTGTGACTCTTGGCAGCCAAACAACCCTCTTTTTTGACCTTTTTTTTCCTTTCGTATATTCGGTTATCCTAATTCGTACTTTTACCTCCATTTTTACCCTTTTCTCACAAGTCATAGAAGCGAGAGAATAAAAAAGAAATGGGCGTCTTTCTCGGGTATCTAACATGTATCCGGGGTTTTTTGCTTTTCTTGTGGCTTAACCCCCTTCCCTCATGGACCCTAACAGGACCAAGCAAAAAACAAAGTTCGTTCGCGTCGTTCTGTCTCTTTCTTTCTCTGCCTCGGTCTTCTTTTGTCCATAGTAGTATGTGTGCCTTTTTTGCCCGACAGGAAAAAAAATCGGAAATTCCGAGGTGGTAGAGGAAAAAAGTGGGGCATGCGGCTTGCTTTGAGTTCACCAAGTTCCACGCCGGGCTTCGTCTCAACGCGGCACGGCTGCAAGCAGCCTTGGTTAGAGTTTCCTGTATCTCGTCAAACGCGATGCGAGTGAAAAATATCATCAAAATTTTAAATTAAACCCAGGTTTCGTGTGGTGGTTATCGCGGTCGTTGCGAGCTGCCCTGTGTAGTCATCTCGTTTCTGGTTGGAAGGGGGGGGGGTGCGCGTGGGAGGGAGGGGTATGCGTGAGTGTGCAAGAGAAACATAGACAGATAGACGTGTCACGCGCATGCAGGGGTTCCAAAAGACGAATTACTTGCCAACGCTCGTGGTCGTGGGGGTTCAATGGGTATCATGTGTGCATTTCCGATTCTAAAATTCTATCGCCTGTGGGCTGATATGTGCCAAAACACCCCGTGCAAAGTGGGTCCAGATGCAACATCTGTCTATATTCCCTAGCCGTTATATCTCTCCCTCATCTTTGTACCTTTCTCTCTCGCTCTCCACGCCATCTGAGATAGCCCGGGTAGCCGCCCACAGCGCCCGGATCCCTTATGGATCCGCGGCGTAGCATTGCAGCACCCACCACCCCTTGGTTATCGGCCATTCATTTCAGGGCGTCCCTGCTTCTGCTGCTCTCTGTCCAATGAATTCCATGGTACATCATTCAGTAGTGTACGTAATCACAACTTGCTGCCTTTGTTCTGTATCGTTCCGATAGCTCCCGCTGCTTTGACGATGTGGGCGTGTCTGGGCGCGCTAACGGCTTCTCAACCGCATCCTTAGCCGGGTCCTCACCCGGGACGACTCAAAACCAGCCTAAACTCTTAGTAGGGCTTTCTGTCCAAGCCAAAGCTGACACAGGCACAACGGCCTTGGTATCAAAGATTGCCTCCCTGTTGGGAGGGAAGGTGGGATGGGAGGGGTGTGCGGTCCGAGGTGAATGGGGCTGAGCACCTCCGTGGTGGACATAAGCTTCATGGTACCAGACCCTCCGGTTCTTCTCCTTGCCATTGTTCGAATAATTGCCGCACACGATACTCCGTAGCCCAGCCGATGTCAGACTCGATGTCCCTCAGAAGGTCTAAGACAACTTGGCGTTCTCGCGGGTCGCTCAGGCACTGACCAGCTGTGAACAAGGGTTGCACGGAATGAATCCGAACGGCCTCATCTGACCGAGCCAGCGAGATTCCAACGATCTCACGGCTATGCTTCTGACATGTCGCAAGCACAGATTGATACGAGTTCATGCGCGCAACCAACGTGCTACGGCCTTGGGTCGACTCGTGCGGCTTATTCATGAAAAGAAGGATCTGCGACATGTGGTATGTTTGCATAGTCGCAGCGCACATGGGGATCGAGTACCACACTTCGCTGAACATGGCTGCGTTCTCGTTTGTCGGGGATTGACCGGGCGTGTGTGAAGGTGTAACCCTGGCCGATGGCTGGAATGTGGGAGGGAGACCGTCGTACCAGACCTGGAGCTGCTTTCGTAGACTGAACCAGTATTCGAGCAGTGTGCGCTGCGGAATACCGCCCCAGCTAACTCCAGATGGGCTGGCAATCTCGTCACCAGCAGCCATGAAGTTGACTAGTTTAGCCATGAGCCAAACAAGAGCGTTGGATACAAGATCTTCTCTCATGGTAGCATCGCCTTCCTCAGTGTAGCTGCTTGCCGCCATGTTGCTCGACATGATGAAGCCTTGCTCATCAATCATGAGACCCGCGTCCCTCCAGATAGCCAAGTCTTCAGTATCAAGCCTTGTGTGTGTTTTATTAATGACTTTTGATAATGTTAGCAAGATCCTTCAAGTGTTTCATGTGTAGACTTACAAGCTGCAAGCATATCCTGCCTAGCAATGTTCCAAAACGTCGCCCTACGAGCCTTGGAAATCATGTTGAAACTTGACAACGGGGATATCGATGTGGGCGTTGGTAGTTGTAGTGGCATACCGTGCTCCTGGGAAAGGACGAGAAGAGACTTGGCACCGTTTAGGTGCTTGGCCCATTCCGAAACGGATGTGTCGAGGAACTCGTAGGCGCACAGAATGGCGGAGGCTGCAAGAAGATCGTCTGTGTTGGATGCAAACGATGTGTTGCTCGAAGTCCGTCGTCGTTTGGGGACTGGTCCGTCAGAAGCCGAGGAAGGGTACCTTTGCTCGCACTCTGATTCGTCAGGAGAAGAAACGACATCCATCTTTAGAGCGTGCAGTAGCAATGATACTGCTGTGTCGTAATATACTGCAGCCTTGTGTTTCCAGTCTACTATTTGCGCATCTGGATACTGGGCCATGCGAGCTTGATATGTGGCGCTACCTCCCATGACGGAGTTGCGTCCCTGAACACGTGCAAGTGCCTTGGCAGCACACGCAACAGCCGCAAACTTGAGTAGTGGATTCTCACGCGCTTTGACAGGAACATACGAGGCAAAGTATGTTCCGATGTCGAAGAAATCCATCCAGTATCCGGGACCTTCTGAGAAGTGCCGTAGGAGAAAGGCAATCTCTTGGTCGTCTTGAGGTGACATGCCGCCATCCGAACGAGGTACTGACCGTCTGGAGCTGGATATGGAAACAGACCGATGCATTCGATCGGAAGAGTCATATGGTGAGCTGAGACGAGGATCAATAGGTGGCGACGCAGCAGCAGAAACGGCGTAGTCCATGACCGGGTGTATGTGTCGATTGCATAATGACATGGGCGGTGACATAGGCGTTCCTACTGTAGAGGTGGGAGGTGACTGCATCAGAGGCGGTAGGGCCTCAAGTTCGGGAGTGTAGCAGAACGGTATGCTGGTAGGCGCTAGTTCGGGTCCCAAGCTGGATGGTGTGCTGGTAACTGATTGGAAAGTGCTGTGTGTACGCCATGAACCTAATGAGCGAGCCTCGAATGGTCCTGGTGATTCCATGGAAGCTGTCGACATGTTGTCAAAGTCCGGTGTGCCAGGATCAAGATATGGATTGGTGGTGTTGATGAATGTGACTGGCGTCGAGTTAGCGAGCAAGCTGAGGAGTATGCATCGGTATACTAACCATGCTTGGGAATGTCTATCCAGATGGCATCGTCATCAAATGTGTTCTTGTATGCATAGAAGCCTTTGAGGGAGTTCTCATCGCCCGAGTCATCCCCATTCATGGAGGCATTGTGTTGGTGGCGGAAGACGATGCCTGAGCTTGGTATGCATTCTCTGGAAGCTTTTGTGCATTGCCCACACACGGGCTTCTTCTCGTCGCACTTCAGCTTCCGCTGACGGCAAGTTAGGCTGTAGCAAGGTCAGGAGGCGACAACAT